CCAAATCCACCACCTCCTGCACCAAATGCTCTGCCGAATGAGCCACCGGCGGCTCCGCCACAGACACCACCGAATCAACAGACCTAATCCTGCTCCTATACCACCACTCCTTTTCCCTCCCCCAAGTACCTGCTGGACTTCCTTCCCCTTCACTACCACCACCACCACCATCCTTACCCTCACCAATCCCAATACTACTCCCCACTCCCCCAGACATCATCGCCACAGAACCCCTCTGTATAATAAGCGGCTGCATACTCCCCCTCCTCGACTGACTCCCACACCCAGTAACCGAATATATACTATTCTGCTGGTGATAGTAGTACTGAAGAGAAGAACTCTTCCCACCAACAAACCCCACAAGCCTCCCCACCGCAACACCCTCAACCAGGACCTTCGTACTAACCACAAACGGGAAGAAAGCCATCGCCGCGGCGGTGTGAACCACATACACGGCCACGATGTTGGCTATGTTGAGGATGAGCGAGATGCAGCCGGCCATTAGGAGGGTATACAGTAACTGTCTCCCCGTCCCATATCCCGTATGGGATTGATATTGGTACTGGTACTGGTGGTAAACAACCGGCCGAAGATACCTCACCACACCCCAGGCATAACACCCCAGGAGAAGAATCTCTCTCCCGCAGTACGCCGTCACCGAGATGCGCTCGAGGATGTTAACGGCATGCGACCAGTGGCCATTCTTGTATAGGGTGGCTGCAGCGGGGGCGACGATGACCTGGGGGAGTTGGAAGAGGAGGATGGATGCCACGATGCCGTAGAGGAGGATCCGTTGGGTTTTCAGGTGGAAGTAGGCGGAGGGTTTTTGGTGGATTGTTATTAGCGGCAGGGAGAAGTAGAGGAGGAGGGTGTTGGATATGCTGGAGGTGGTGGTGGTTAGGACGAGGAGGATGGCGGAGGTTATTCGGACGGCGGGGTTGTTGGGGGGGAGGTTGAAGAGGAGGAGGGTGGTGAAGGTGGTGGAGAGGAGGGTTGTTGTTGTTGTTGTTGTTATTGTTGTTAGGAGGGTGGTTGTGGTGGGGATGATTGAAGGTCGGGGTTTGGGGGGTGTAAGGGTGAAGAAGGAGAGGTCGAAGATGAGGTAGTATAGGAGGAGACAGGTGAAGGTGGAGATGGAGAGGAGGGATATTGCCGTGTAGATGTCGGGTTGGGGGAGGGTGAAGGCGGAGGGTTCTGTTGTGGTGGTGGTGATGTTCATGGTGGTGGTAGTTGGGTCATTGTTTGGTTTGGGGATGGAGGGTTGGGTGCCATGAAGACCTTGATATATAAAGTATAGGGTTGATGTGAGGGCTTTACTATGGGGTGAGTATAACAAAGACTCGACTTGGATGTGTGTATCTCAACTGCTGAAGTTGAAGTCCTATATCCGAACCAGATGTGGATGTAGGGAGAAAACATCTCCGGGGCTGCATAGAAATAACCCTCAATCAACCGCAGATAAGGTTCTGATATGTTCATCATTGGATCCGTGGTTGAGAGCGGCACCTGCAAGGGTCTGGAGCCGTCCGTTGCGGAGCTGCGAAGCTACGAACAAAGCAAGGATTCTCGAGGCCCACGGGAGATCGTCGTGTTGGGTTGTAGTGACGAATTGGGGGACAGTTGAGAGCAGTTCATCCATTTCATGAGCAGTTGGTCGCGTGTGAGATATTCTAGTATGGAAATATAAGCCGATGTAGTAGTCATCTATGTATTTGTGGAGTGAGTCAGGTTGTTTGTTTGATGCTCTGTTGGACTACTACTAACTTGATACTATTCTCTACGGGAGTCATGATTCTCTATAGAGCTATTTGATGCATTGTGGATGACCTTGGCGACGGAGGAGATGTCCGGGGACTCGGATCCGGAGCCAGACAGGCAAGCTATGGCCCTCGGATGGGTTTGGCCGCTAGATAAGGTTTTATTGTGGGCCGGTTGTCATTTGTCAAGAACAACTCTAATATATTCTGCTATTGACTGGTGCTTGGCAAAACAGATGGTGTGGCATCTACTGCATTGTGATGATCTCTACGGGAACGTTTATGAGCCCTACATGTCATGCCATGGGAGAAGATTCTCTTTATTGTATGTGTATCGACATGAGTAACCCGAAATCCTTCCTTCATGATCTCCCTCCTATACGCAACCTCATTGACACCTTCTGATCAATATGACCCAAAATATAGCCCCTCTCACCATATATCCTAAGCGGCATGCGCTTATAACAATAGCGTCTAGACAGTGCACTTGACAGTGGCAGCACTCAGGTCCACCGGCTGCGCAGCACTCGGGTTTCCGTCAAGGTCCACATAGGTGTTCCGGGAGTTCAGGGTGGCCAGGACCGATCCGTAGTTCGTGATCACGCAGTTGGTGTTCGCCTGGAAGTTGGTCAATTGTGCCGACGAGGCCTTGACCACACCACCAGAGCCGACTCCGGTGTTTCCGTACAGAGCCGAGATGCTCTGCACACTGCCGTCGGCGGGGACGGCGGCGCTGCCCTGTGCACCTGTCTGGTCGTTGGCCAGGGCGATGGTCACAGCGGGGATGATAGGGCCCGCAGAGACGGAGGTAGCCAGGAGGGCAATGAGGACGGCACTGATCGACTTCATATTGAGGTAAAGAGGAGGTGGTTGATTGAAGGGGAAATTAGATGGTTAATTGATGATGATGGTCAAGAGACAAGTTGGGATGGAATGCTGTTGTGGTGCTGGAATAGTCCTTGAATGTCGAGGGAGAAGGCCTGCTTTATACCTTTTCCTTTCGCTCCTTGTACTGAAGGCCATATATACTATATTTTGTCGAGGTTGTCATGCGGTCTCTGGCTCTTCGTATCTGTCTCACTTCCTGCCGGGTCGTAGACACCCTGCCACAGCTTTAGGCGTTCCATGACTTTACTTGACGTCGATTGGATTCACGATCTCCCACCTACAGCCGAGTGTAGACTATTTTGAACCGACGTCATGAGACAGGGATCTTTGAATGTACTTTCCGGCGCCGCCGAGAGTCGAATAGAAGGCATCTCAATGGTTGATTGCTATTTCGGGACCGATATTTATGACATCTCACTGGGCACGTGAGGGTGAGATGCAGGTCTCAAACCTTCAGCATCGAGTCGATGCGACGGCGAGCCGGAGATTCTTGACTCTCCATCGTAGAAATGGTGCGGTGGAGAGCTCGTGTTGTTGCGTGAATACGAGAAGTCCATGTCGACGGGCATTGCAGGCCTCACTCGATACCGGTGATGCTCCCTACATAGTGGGATGTTTTCTTGCGACTAAATATCGTGCTCATAATGCATGGTGCTCATAATGTTCATTATGAATAGCAGATCGAATGATTTGCCAGACCAGGGAAGTGGAATAATTAGGGAAGACGGAGTTCAGGAATACGAGCTGGTGCCGTAAGGCAATGCCAAATAAAGACGACGGGAAGGACGATATACTTTCCCCAATGTAACATCCCTGCGACATCGCTCACTTCCCCGGATATCCTAGCACTTCATGCGATGAGGATCGACGCCGATCCTAAACATGCGTCATCTTGGATCTTCAGTTCGGATGATTCGGAGGCATCGGTGCTACCCGGGCGTAGTACTGGGTTGTAACGATGAACGAACGCCAGGATGTAGATGACCCTTGCAAGATATGACATTGTCTACCAATTCACTGCGACAACTCTGGATGACTACATTCGCCATCTGAAACGATGACCGACTTCAATTTTGTGGAGAGAACTTGCAGTCAGGATTTTAGGCTGCTTTGTCGGACGATTTGGGCGTGCTTACGAGCATTGGAGGCTTGGCAGGTCGACATGTAGCCAAGAATAAGGCCCAGAAGATGAAGGCTGTGAAGATGCAGTGGCAACAGCCCTGTGGCCGCGTGCGAGCCACCTGGGGCTGTGTCATATGCGAGCCCTTGATCTAGACGATGTGTCTATGCAGAAAGCCGTATCCGACATAGCCTTCCTTGCGTGAATAGATGACTGCGGCTTCGCCAGTGAGATGATGATGACTGGTCTTTACCAGAGTTGCTAGGAGCTACAAGGGCTACCATAGGGCTGCATTGGGGCCGGGCTTATGATACCGACGAGAAGTGAAGGAGTTCGGGGTTACGCGAGGCCTGGTAGATGCCTACCAGCATGTCGGCAATGCACTAGAAGGTATCTAGAGCTCTTCCGACCAGAGAGTGGCGAGCGACGGAATGTTGGCAGACAGGGAGACCTCCGAAGACCCTTGCTTGGATGCATCGCAGGTGTAAACCACACGCTATGGTGCGGAACAGGAACGGGGACAGTCCCGTCACACAGTGACTAGGTCCATGGTCGTTTTGCAGGCAAAATATAAGGCTTGCAGAAAGGGTTGCGGAAATGCTAGGCCGTGTTCCGTCACGAGACCGAGACCTTTATAGATAGCTGGCTCCAGTCTGGCTTCGAAGGGATTCATTACAGTGTCCGTAAGAAGTTGGGAATTCTTTACTCAAGTGTAATGTGGAGCAGAGACCAGCTGAGTTCTGAAACAAGCAATGAGACCTGCGAGTCACGCGGGCAGCGTGACTGGATGACCAAGTGAAAGGAAGCTGTTGATGTCCCTGGGCAGGTATGAAAGCTATTGCGCTCACACTAAGAGTCCCAGAGTATATACTATTCACCCAGGTTGGCCTGGATTTCTATTGAAACGAGCTGTTGTCCAGCTGGATGCGGAGTTTATCATAACGGTGAGGGAGAGATCATTGTGTCAGAGCCCGATTTGGCAATCTAACGGGATCATCACTAGAATTGTGTCATTGGAAATATGTCCTTAAGAGAAAGGAACACAGTAGTAAAGGTTGAACCAGCGGGGTATAGTAATAGCGGTGAGTGGAAGAGATGGTGAGTAGCGGAAGGAAGATGGAAAAGAGAGAGGAAATGGAGAATGTATGAAAGAAGTTGGTCTGTGCGCGGGAGCTGCTGACGTTGACGTCGATGGAGCGAGTCTCACTTTCTGCCTGCATCCACTCGCTCTTCCTCTTCACGCCTTCCTCTCCGCCTCTCTTTTCCTTTCCTTCCCTCTCTTTCTCTTCTCTCCATTCCACCCTGGTCCTTCTTTCAGCTTTCTATTGTTCAGTTACCATGTCCTTCTCCTAGTGCGACCTGTATTATTCGATTAGATTACTCCCCGACACACTCCCTAGACAGATAGCCCGTCATGGTGTCCCTGTGGCCCTTCAGGGTAAGTCCAGTCCACATCCACCGCCAGTCTCCAATCCACCAACTCACCATTCCCCCATGCTCAGGCCGAGGACAACTCTCCAGCATCCTTCGAAAAAGCCCTCGTCGCACTCTCCACCAAGATCACTCGAGCCACCACTCGTCTCGACCTCCACCGCCAACATGCCCGCCGCTTCAAAGCCCTCTGGACTCTCTACACCACCTTCGCCTACCTCCTCTATTCGATTATCATTGCTCTAGTCCTCGGGTGGCAGAATTGGGGAATCACAGAGTACGGCGCGATCATCGGTGGCCCAATCCTGTACGTTCATAATCCCCCCTGATCTACTCCCTCACTGCGACCTGCCACCCCTCACCCCGCCCCTATTGCGGAGCGTCACACCTGCATCACAGCTCCTAACCACCATTCTCAAACAGGATCTACCTCATCCGTACCATCTCCACCCGCTACTATGACTATCGCATCTCCAAAACCCAGGCCTACCTCGACGATCTCCACAAACAGCGCGAGAAAACCATCGAGGACCTGAAGACCGCTACGCGCTGGAACTCCACCCAACAGCTCCTCGAGAAATACGGCGGGGAATCGCCCAAACCCGCGCGCTCAAACTCGGTCAAGTCTGGCGACGCCAAGCGCAACAAGTCCGAGGGAGCGAAGCGCAGGCAACCATCTCAGCAGCAGCAGCAAGTCCAGCGCACGGGTATCCCCCCGCCCCCGACAGCGAATATCCGACGACCAGCACCGCAGCAATTCCCTCCTTCTCCTCAACCGCCTGCCACCCCGCCAGTCGCATTCCAGCACCACCAGCAGTCTCCGCAGAATTTCCCCGGCCAACAACAACCACAGCAGCAGAGGTCGCTAAGCATGAACGTGGGCCTCGAAGAGCCTGGATTCGCTCCGAACGCATTCTCTAGTACGCCTTCACAATATGTGGAACAGTCCCACTGGTACGACCGCCTGCTGGACGTATTGCTGGGTGAAGATGAAACCCAGCCCAAGAACCGGCTCGCGTTGATCTGCTCCACCTGTCGAATTGTCAACGGTCAGGCGCCCCCGGGTATTAAGACACTCGAAGAACTAGGCCGCTGGAGATGCGGAAACTGTGGCGCATGGAACGGTGAGGAAAGCGAGGCGAAGAAGGTCCTGGCGGGCATCCGCAAGGAACAACAGCAGTCGTCCAATATCATCTCCAGTGGCAGCGTTGATGGCACAGAGACCCGCTCGTCCGTGGGAGGAGATGTAACGGATGACGGCGTCATGGTGGCTGCTACTGGCAGCGAGGATGATCAGCTCGAGTCGCACAGCGAGGGAGCTGAGACGTCGGAGGAACAGGTAGAGCAGTCTGCGGAGAGTGAGGATGAGGTAGAGGAAGAGCCTGAACCACAACCCAGTAAGAGGGTAACGCGATCTCGGGCTAAGGGTGGAAGAAGGAAGGGTTGACGATATGCCACTAAGGCTGTTCTGTAATGTAGTTAGTTTATTCGTGTGGCATTATTAGCAATACCAGGTCATATCATCCAGACTATATTCAAACTAGAACCAGAGCCAGTAGTGTATGTCATTCTCATATCCAAAACAAAGATCGCTCAAAACTACAAACATCACCCTTAAACCTAACTCCAAATAACCCAATACAAATCACAAACTACACCCCCTCCCCCCAAGAATCTCCACAGCCCTCTCCGCCGCCGTAATCTCCGCCTCCTCACTAGTCAAACACCCCTCCACAAGAACAGCCACGCCTTCCACGCCCGCCATCGTCACCGCACACCGATACGTCGCCCCATCATCCTCCCCACCAGCACCAGCAGTACCAGTATCCCCATTCACCACCCTCACCACCTCAAATCTAATCTCCCCCTTGGCCATCTGCTGCGCAATATTCCTCGGATGCATAACATCGACCTCATCCTTCAGAATCCGTCTCAAATACCACAACACCCCCAACCGTTCCAGGAACTTCTCACACTCGGCCAGATTCCCATGTGAATCAATAAAGATAGCACCCAGAATACTCTCAATGATATCAGAGAAGAATTTATCCGCGTTGAGCTGGGAGAGGTATTTCCAGGGGTACGACGGGGAGTGTTGCAGGCCGTGGATGATGGATTTGCGGAGCGAGGCGTGGCGGGATAAGGCTGCGTCTCGGGCTGTTTGGAGATGGGCGCCTTGATAGCGCATGAAGCGCCAGAGTTCGAGTTTGTGGTCGATGGATGAGGGGTTGAGGGAGGCGGTTCCCGAGGGGGTGATTTGTACGGTGGAGCGTTTTTCAGTGAGGGCGAATTCCATGCAGAAGAAGGCGAGGAGGTTGGCGTTCACGACGGCGTGCTTTATCTTGGTCATTTGACCTTGTGGGATTTCGTGCGGGTGGGAGAGGAGGGTCGACATGATGGCCATGTCGAGGACGGCGTCGCCGAGGAATTCGAGTCGTTGGTAGGATTGGGTGGTGGTGTCGAATTGGCAGGATGGGTGGGTGAGGGATTCCACGAGGAGGAATTTGTGTGTGAAGGTGTAGCCGATGTGCGTCATTAGGTGGTCGTCGTTCAGGGTGTGGTTGGTGGTGCCTTCTGGGGTTGAGGGGGCTGTGGTGGTGGTGCGGTCGATGTGCTCGAAGTTCACTTCGGGGAGGAAGCGGTGGATGCAGGCGTGGGCGGTGGCGAAGCCGCCGTCGATGTAGGAGGCTCCGATTAGGGCTTCGACTACGTCGGCGAGGACTTTGGTGGACATTGTTCGTTGCTTGGGGGTGAGGCTGATCTTTTCGGAGATGAGGGGGGCGGTCCATTTGCGGGGAGTGAACGTCTTGTTCATGATGAAGGCGTCGAGGCCGGCGTCGAGGGCCGCTCGTGCGAGACGCGAGTTTTGGACGATCTCGTCTCGTCCTTCGGAGAGGTAGCCTTCGTGCCAGTTGGGGTGCTGGAAGAAGAGTTGGCATGAGACGGTGAATTTGAGGACTGAGTCGCCGAAGAATTCGTATCGCTGGTAATTGGTAAGTGATTGCGCGCTGGGCGCGGTAATGGCCGTGATGACATGACGAATACTGGAGAATTCAAGATCGCGGAGAATGGTCTCGCATAGTCTAGTCGCAACCAATGTGGCTTCTAGTCTATCCAGTATAACTGATATGAAGCGGCCGAAGATGGTTTCGGCATAGGGAAGTTTGTCTATGGTGCAGTTTTCCGCAAGAATAAGACGGATCTTTGAGGAGATTTCAGGGGTTTCAGTATCAAGTTGCTTAGTAGCTAATGTTTGCCGGTGCAAAAGGTTTCGTCGCTTTGGGACGGCGTCGCATTCGAGCTCGACTATGGGTGTGTCATCTTGTCCGGATACAACCCACCGTTTGAATACCATAGGCTCATTGTAGCGTAAGCGGTCCCGCACAATGCCCATTATCGTAGGAAATTCCTTGCGAGAGTAGACCTCTAGAGCAGGCTCGTCTCCGGCGTGCTTCTTGAGCCATTCTGCTAACTCAAGGTCGGGAAGGTCGGGCCCAAACAGAGTCACAAAGTCTTGTTCGGGCCTCAGCTGTCTAGAGCTTACAGCCTGGAGGTATAGCGCGGTTGCTAGTCTCATATTTTCGATGCTGTCAGCGGCGATCCCTTTCATTCGCTTCGGTTTGTCGAACGCCAACGTATAGGTTGTCTCGCTGTCCCAGAATAAGGTCATCGGTTCAATCGGTGGTAGACTCGTTGGGCTGGTCAACCTGATACACATATGAGAGTCCCCATTGTGCTTTATAGCAATTTGCGTTTGGTGGACATCAGGGGATGACCAGGAACAAGCCCAATCGACCCATGGATCGTACTGTTCCGATACTTCCACAAGGGCAGGCAGGTTAACATGATCGGTCTCTTTTAGCTCTAAGCTCCTTTTGAACGGAAGTAGATGATCGCTCAGAAGACCAAACTCGTAGAGCCGTTTGTAGGCTTGAAAGGCTGCTTCTTTCCGAGCTGCTCGCTCGGTCTGCCACCATCGCTGGCCCTGAATACGGCGGACTTCGGGATGGACGCAGGACGGCAATGTGACAGTACCTCTCAATAGATCTGCATCATCCTTCTCATATGAAAATTCAGGCTCGTTGCTCGCATACGGTTGGCGTGGCAGGACTGCGCAGAAATGGTTGAGGTGTGCAACAGCGGTGTCTGCCGTCAAGACAGCACTGGAAAAAATCAGCATCAGTACACAATTTGAGAGTGCTGTGTGGAGCCATACCCAGTAGATGGCACCTCAAGCCTCTCCACCACTTCTTCGTTGATAGCCTCCAGGGCCCAAGCCTCGCGCAGTCGCCTTTCGTCATCCTCGTATGCTTCAATCATGGCCTGTTCCAGGTCCTCCCACTTGCTCAGTGCAGAAGATTCATCATCTGTAGAAAACATGATGGCATAAGTGGATTTCCTGTGCCGCGCACGACCTCGTCTCTGTACGAACGATTTCAAGTTTGGTGGCTTATCATAGCAGACTACCACGCTGCAGGCGCTAATGTCAATGCCCTCCTCCAGCACATCCGTCGCAAGAATCAAGTTCTTCTGGCCGGTCCGGAACTCGCTCAGTGTATCGCGCTGCATACGGGCGTCAAGGAGCTCACCCAGAACGTCTTTGCTACCTCCGCCGGACCAGCCGACGAAGGAAGCGCATCGAAAGCGATGCTTGGTCACAGGATGGATAGACAGTAGCTTTTCCATTACACTCACTGTAGCCCTCTGTTTAGCAAATACTAGACCGGAAAAGTTGGGCTCTCCCTTTGTATCCAAGAATTCCAGCAGGGATCGGAATTTTGGTGAAATAGGTATTCTATCCGGGTCGGAAGGAGTGAGGTCTATATTCGGGGTGGGTAGCTTTGAGACAATATCTAGTAGATATGCCTTCTCCTCGTCGGTCCAGCCCATGCTATCCACCGAATTATCGGCTCTCGTTTTGAGCTGCTCGACAGAAGCGTATATGAAGTAGTCGGCAGCCCATTCACCAAGCTCTTCGAAAATGTGTAAGCTTCTAGTCGCAAATCTTTTCAGCTGATCGTTACAGTAAGTCTTCCCGGACTCGAGGACTTTCTGCAACGCCCTTCCGTCAAGGGGGCTCTTTCTCAGTTTCTTAATGTACGGGTCATCCTCGAGCCTCATAGACGTCCAGGCGTTCACAAGAGCTTTCAAAGTCCTGCTTCCAGCCTGCAGGTCATCGAGCAGCACCGGGGTGAACAAGATCTGCTGCAAATATGGCCGATGGGTATGCGTCATAAGCTCTGACCGATGAGTCCGTGGTGTCTTGCACACGGCATCAAGATTTGACTCAATCTTCCTGATCTGGTCAGCCCTACCCTACCCTGCCCTGCCCTGCACGCCAACACTACACTCACAGTAGCTCCTGTTTATTTGATCTCACCACGGGACTAGCCGTGAGGCCGAGAACCTTGGGCACAGCTTCCGCGCCATGCCTTTCCAGCGCAGGGTGATAAAAGTACTCCATGATCTTGTTTGCAGGGTGGCGTCGCATGCAATGATGGGCTGCCAATAAAACACACGGCATAAGCAATTCTCATCTCACAAACACATATATACCCACACACACAGCCCCCTACATCATAATCTCCGGGTTTAAAGCATCGCGTTACTATACCTTCATCGAAAATCAACAGACCCAGCTGGGTGATCTTGACGAACCCATGGCTCATCGCACTGGCAAGAACCGCATGCGTGGACACCACCACCTGCATCTCCTTCAGGATCGCATCCCAGATAGACTGCTCAGTCCAAAGCTCGACCTTGTCTAGACTAGTGAGGGTCCGGGCTCGGACGGCGGGGATATTGTCGGAGATGAATTTGAATTGTTGCAGACATAGGGCGACAGTGGGTGTTAAGAACCAGATTAACTGGAGCAACGGAGGATAAGTCAATAACTTATGAGCCAAGATAACTTCACATCCTTCTTCATTTTAATTTATTTTTTTTTTCTCACCTTGTGCGGATTACTCTCCAGCTCCTTCATGATTCGCAGCAAAGCGCTGCAGTGAAACCGTCAACTCCAAATAAAGTTCCACTGTGGAGAAACAAACATACATGTGAGTTTTCCCACTGCCAGTTCCCATCTGCAATATATTATTAGCCTGAACCTTTCAAAGATAGTAAGCCTTGCATACCGTGACAATGATATTCTCCTTTAAACTCGCCTCGAACATCTCCACCTGGTAGCTGCGCGGGCGGTATGCGGGCGCATCTTCGCCGGCGGGAAGTAAAGTCGCAGCAGCTGTCATCTTGCTGTCATCGGGGTATCACTGGAATAAAACAGAACTGGGCAGAAACAACGATCGAGACAGATGCTGGTGAAGGGAGCCCCAGCAGAAGGGGGGAAAGAGAGTGAAAGAGGAGAAAGAGACGCTGAGAATATCAAATCAAATAACTCATCTCAATGAACTAACATTTGGTTCGAGGAGGCGTCCGAGTGGAGGGGAGAGCGAGACTAGAGAGACTCGACCAAAAGGAGGAGTGGGGTAAACAAACTGGACAAACTTGGTTGGTTTGGCTGGCCTGGCGGGGTTGGCCTTATGCAGCTACTAGTACTATCAATAGATTCATTCGCTAATCACAGTGGTATTAATTCTGGGGTTGGGTTTGGAGATAACGCTCCCACTGTGGATTGGTTCGTGGTTTAATTTGGGAAGCCGAAAGCTTGGTTGGATACTGGTTGGTTTATTTGTTGGGTCGGGCTGCTAGAATTGAGAGTCGAATCGTGAATGGATAGTCTACCGAACTATAAAAGTAGTACTTATTGCATCCCCCAATTTCGGGATAGATTGGTATTCGGTTCTGTCTTGAACTGTCACAAAACGAGGATAAGGAGGGCAGCATCTTCAGAGCAGACACAGATGGATTACTATGAGCAAGTCGAGCAGTCTGTTTTCCTGAACCCTCCGGTAGGAAGCGGCCCTCTCTAACAAACATCGTATGCAAGTGTTGAAACGGGGAAATACCGGAAGCCTCCTGTGCCCACTGCCAATGCATCGGGCAATCAGCAAACGGGATAGAAGCACCCAACTGCATTCACAACTATCGGTGCACTTCCTCTGTCCCAGGAGACTCCTGTGGCTGATGACGCTGTGGATGAACATCAAATATGAAAGCACAAAACACCGCTCCTTCCGAGGCCAGAATGGATACCTAGTTACATCACGCCATACACCAGAAGATACGACAACGGTAGGAATATCGAAACAGAAAAGCAATGAGCTGATGATATATCTCGGGCGTTCGCAATCAACAGAATACAGAAATGGCAACAACAATCAAGGGTAATATCGGGTTCGAACATATCCGGGTCACTCATGATACAACGGGCAACCCGTGACCAGGCTCCGTTTTCGTGGCGTCAGACCCATCGGGCTGTCCGTCGTCATTGCGCGGGCGACGAGCCTGGAAATTGTTCCCCAGGAAGTTCGCCTCCTCATTGGGGTGCTTGCGCATTCCCAGGCCAGCAACCGCGATGCGATTCAGCGAGTTCATGTCTTCGTTCGAGGCAGCACCGGGGTTGGGGACCTGCATTTGCTGCGGTGCACCGCCAGGACCGGGCGCGGGACCGGTGGCCGCCGGAGCCCCCGGCGGGGGAACGGAGATATCATTTCGTGGCTGGTTCAAATCAATGTTGCCAGGCAGCTCGGGAACCTCGCCCTGAGAGTCCAACAAGCGCGATTGCAGGTTGATGATATATTCACGGAGCTGGTAGTTCTCGGCTTGCAGCTGCTTCATCGTCTCGTTCGTGTTATCAAACTCCTTCACCTGCTCCTCCAGCTTGCGAATGTAGCTCTCCTTGCGCTGACGGAAAGCTCTCTGCTTTTGGTCAGTCCAAACCCTTAATCCCAGGCATTGGGGTTCACTATACCTGTGCGGCCCGGTTCTGGGCAGCGCGCTTGGAAGTCGACAGCGGTCGCTTGCCATATGTCTTGGGGGATTCCTGGCCCGTAGGCTCTGGCTGGGGAGGAGTCTGAGGAGGACCACTGAGCATGGCAGCGCCGGAGATGGCAGGGTCGATGTTGTTCTGGTCTCGAGGGCTGGTGGTGTTGGGTTGCATATGCGGAGGCTGCGCGGTCGGACCTTGCGGACGTGCCTGCTGTGGGTGCGACAGATGTTGGTGAGCAGCCAGGAGCTGGTCATGCAGCACTGGAGATCAGACACGCGAGTCAGCATTTAATATAAACACATACGAGGCCAGTGAAGTGGAGTGAGGCAGTAAGCAGCCCGCAAACGCGATGACGCGATGACTGCTTGGGCGATTTTCCTCCTGCTTGTCTCTTTTTTTCTCTCCCCTATTCCTTCACGATGAGAAGCTGGTCTCACTTACCCTGATCCGCATGGTCCTATCAAGAAACCCTACAGTTAGCATCTATATACTCCATGATTCATGTATATCCGGTTGACGCGACCGGTGAGCATTTCAAGGCCCCCGTGTCGCGAAAACATGGGCGTGATCCGGCATCGCTCGTCCGACAGACAGGGCGACGGCAGTCGCGAACACGACCAGAAAGCTCAAGCTCCCGGCTCGGGACATGAGCTGCGCGAATCTGGGGAAACGGGATAAAGACCAAGATGGGACAGACGCGATCTGATGACAAACCGCGACAAGCATAGGCTGCTTACCTGAGCAGACGTTTGCATACTTGGATGCGGCGCTGGGGCTAGTGTGGGCTGCATCGAGGCAATAGATCAAAAGACAACGGAGACGCGCCGGAAAAAAGACACGACAGGATCAATTCACGAAGAGGAGAAGGGCGGACGACGAGCTCGGCTAGTATATTCACACGTTTTCTTTGGAGGTTTCGAGGGGGAGGCGAGGATGTAGAGGAACGATGTAGGATAAACGGGGAAGGACGATGAGGTAAGCAGAAAACGAAAGAGAGCGAGCCAGTTCGGAGATAGCTCGTTTTCGCTAGTAGGCAGGGGAAGTTGTTTAGGTAAAGGCTGCTCACGCGGGAGGTGCCTTAACTGACTAACTAAGCTGGATTGCAGTTTGACTGCTGACTATTATTGGTGATAACCGGGGTGGGAAAGTGGGTGTGGGCAGATTAGTAGTAATTATGAGAGGCAGTGATCTCGTAAGCAGCGAGTTGTGACGGGAAGTGCTGGGAAGAGCTGACCACGAGAGGGGGAGAGAGGGGGGCGAGAGAGGGAAAGGGAAGATTAGTTAAAGGATCAGTCAGAAAATAAGTGACGTGTGGGAAAAATGGAGGAGGGCGAGTGGCTGGCGCCGAGGGAAAAAGGGCCCTTCCCCCGGTGAACTTCACTGGTACTACCACCGTAGTAGTAAGTTAGTACTAGTCAGTCGAGTTACCTGCCTTGCTTCCTCAGGTGTCCAAGCCTGCATTTCAAGGAGACTCAAGTCTTTGTTTACTGGCTTCTCTCAACATCTTATCATCACTTCATTCGCTAATTAATTCCTCCTAACTTAACTCTGAACATTACACAAATATCCCCTCCTTCTTTCCCCTCAACAATCCGAACTTCTTTGTTTCTCCGTTTCTACTGTGTTCTACCTGACCCACGGCTGATGACTGATCCGGCATGTGCTGACTCATCGCTTTCCACAACAACACTAACTTAGTCACCCAAATAGAGCAGTTTGCCGGCAGTTCACGGAATCTCCCACTGCACAGTAAACACTCTCTCCAACGAGACCTAGATAGATACAATCTACTAATATGAGTAATAACAACACCCCTACAAATCAAGTAAAACCCCTCAACAAATCTCCCCCAACCGGAGCTACACACACGTACAACACCCGGGACGTAAAGTGATCTTCAACCACTTACTACATCCCTCCGCCGGCATCCGGGCGGTGTCACTAGGAATGTCGGATTCATCGGGGTAAGAATGCCGATGGATGCCTGAACTGCAGTGGCCAGTGGGGAAAGAACTTAGGTCTTCTGACTCAGCCTAGCATTGGCTGGACCGTGAGGACTTACCATCATTGGGTGAGCCATGGCCAAGTCCAGGCTCGAGTCCCAGCGACCATTTTCTGCCCATACCACCAAAAAAGGCGGTCGAATTTTATACAGATTTCAGATGAGTGTTTGGGGATCTGTATAGTCTAAAATCCGACAAAATCCGAGGTTTTTTCATCGAGGTCGACTAGCTTCTGCCGCTTTGGGCGGTGGGAGGGGCGGTCGGGGTTGGGTTTTGCCATTGATTTATCTACTTACTCCGTATTGCTTAGTTGCCTTGATTGGATAGGATAGCAGTTTCTTCGGTGTTCAATTAATTGGCTACATTGTAGTAATTTATGTATGTATTCATGTATGTACTTGGAACTGACATTGCGACAGTCTGTTACTAGTAAGTACACATCAAACCACAACATACCAGCAACTAGAATACTGATTAAGTACATCGATCAAACTTCATGACACATATAGACACTAGAAAAGTTCCAGCTCCCACTCATAACCCATGTATATACTACGTTCGTGACCCCAATCCATTATGACATAATCTCCTCTCCTCTCTCGTCATTCCATCTCCCTTCATTGCTCCTTCTTCACCGTGGGCTCAGTCGCCAGCGTCTTGATGATAGTGGCCCCAACATGCGCCGACTCCTTCCAACCCTTCTGTCGCATCCAGAACCGTTCCGCCGGGTCAATGTCGTGAGTCGACCACTCACGAGCATCCTCTTCCAATGACTTCCGCGTAATATCAGGCACTTCCATGGATTGATCCGGCCCATGCTCATCCCCTTCGTCATCACTGCTGCGCGCCGCGATCGTCGACTCCAAGTACCGCTTGCGCATAAGGTACCGCTCTGTACGCTCCTTCTTGGCATTCGGGGGCTCCAGCTTGGCCATGGCTGCGCGGATGGCATACCGCACCATGAGGTAGATGTGCTCGGAGAAGAAGATCGTCAGCAGCAGTGCCCATCCGCGGATACCGGTCGGCTCGCCGTTCGGGCCTTCATAGCCGTTGCTGAACATGTAGAGAAGGGCGGAGCTGGTGATGCTGCCGACCCACGACAGGAAGCCGAGGCTTTCCAGCCAGGGTCCAATGGTATCGGCGCGCTGCGGCCAGGGTCTCTTGCACTCCATGCAGATCTTGAAGAAATCGGACCGAAGCTCCACCCAGTTGTTGACCAGGAAGGAGACAGGGACGAGAGGCCAGACAGGAGAGAACAAGGCCAGATATCCGAATTGGATGCACATCTCTCGCAGGTCTTCAGTCACGTCGTAGTCCTCCAAGTCGGCTTCGTTGCGTACCCGGGTCAGGAACTTGGTCTCATCGGGGTGATCGTCGAACAATGCCTCTTTCTTGGCCTCGGAGCCATCCTCAGTCTCGATCTTTCCTTGCTTTCTGCGGTTGTATTGCTTGTATTCGCGGGAAAGGCGCTGCTTCAGCATAGGCACAATGGTCTCCATGGCAAAGTTGACAGCTTGGGCTGTGACGGTGAAGTAGATCACCTGCTTGCGCAGACGGTCCGGGTCAATGCTAAATTCTGTCCTCCGTGAGCTTGCGTCTTCCTTCGACACGAAGGGCCGAACAGTCAGATGGAAGACATCAAGGTACGGCACGATCCGGCTCGCGAAAGGTACGTAGACAAAGGCTGTGAGAATGATTGGCAGATACGAGGTGATAAAGTTGATAATGAACACCTTCTGCGTCAGAGCCACATCGTATGCAGGCTGCGTCTCGTAGTTCTCGTAGTCATTGAGCTTCGTAGCGATCGACACCAGGACCGAGCTCATCGTTGGGATGAGAGCCGAGAGCAGAATGGTGGGAATGAAGACCTGATCTGTTAGCGGACGGTCCGAAATCCCCGTGATTCAGACTCACCAAGTAGGTCTTCAGTGGACCATTGTATACCTCCGAGATGAAGATCTCAATGGCAAAGCACGTGGCGATAATGACACCCAATGCAACGGCGGAAAGCAAGGCGAACGGGACAATCAGCAGTTGTCTATACATCCGCCTGGTCGCGGGGAATACCCCCCTGACCTCACCAGTGCTTTCATCCTGAACTTCCCTTTCGGGCTTGAACTCGCGTCTCTTGGGTCGCACAACCGAGACCCCCTTTGTTTGCCAACGACAGCTCAGATCCTCCTCCTGGCGCTTCCAGTACTCAATGAAAATGATACACCACAAGCTATTCACGACCGCATATATGATAGAGAAGGATCCGAGGAGCAGCCAGCAAGAGAAACCGAATACGGCAGGGAACATAAGGAACCTAAAGTATGACTGTAGGAATGCGAAGTAAAAGCCGACCTGTACGTAGAACACCCATTAGCTGCAGATCAAGTACGCATGCAAGGCCGGTCTTGTCCTTACATTCTCTCCGAACGTATTGCGTATCTGATCCAAATCATCAGCCGACAAAAACGTCTTCTGGCTCCAGTCCTTCATGCACTGTTTGTTCATGGCCTCATCATGCAGCGGGAAGATCGCATCGACACATTTCCATTCGCCATGTTTCGGGGTGATACCAGCGCCACCTGCTTCTTTGGGGACGGTGATCATATGGTAGATAACGCGCAAACGCTCCGATTCCGACTGGGCCTCCGCCGAGGATTCCGATTCGGGTTCGGTATTGCGGACGCCATAGAGCCAATCGCGAATGCTAGTGAAATAAAATAGACGGATCAGTAAGAGACGACCAAACCCGACCGTGCAAAGAGCAAGCGCTCACCGTGATTGATAGATGGCACGCTTCAGGCTCTTCTTCCGTGACGCTCGGACGAATATCAACAGCGACGATTCATCCCCTTGCCTCACTTCGGTCTGCAGTCCAACCTCGAAGAGTTTCCGCAGCAGTCGATCGAGTTGCTCGGTCGCATGGGCGGCGTCTAAGTATAGATAATGGTGGTTAGGTCGGAGCGACACCGGGAATTGCTGGGCCTGGGGTACACCGCCATCTTACCAGTCTCACCACCAAAGTTGTAGCGAATCACGTAGTCCACATAGTGATTGCTATGCACAGGGTCCCGAGGGAGAGTGGAAGCCATTGAATGGGAAAGAAAGAGGGATGTCGAGTGCAATCAGGGAATCATGAGTACGAACAGGGAGCACTGTCGACAAAGCATCGAGAGTATCCCAGGGGAGCGGGATCTACTCGCAGTAATTAATAGTAATCTAGTGATTAGGGAGGAGCTACCGTTTTTTCCCAGGGGATCTACGCCGCGATGACGACGTCACCACCGATCCGATCTGGCGCTTAGGGTTAGCCCTCATCGTGGCTGGTGCCGATCGTCGCCCCCATCGTCACCATGCTTTCATTCATCAGCAATTCTCTCTGCTCCAGTGTGCCTTGATCGTTCATCAAGTTCCTTTGAGGAGTGATGATGCTAGCTTATGCACCGGAGAGTCCTCATCCAGACTGGATATTTTGTTTTTCCTTCACCGCCTTCTGTTGCTGAGTATTTCCGGGCGGTGAGACTCATCCCTGTTGCTGATCTGCCAGTTGGCTCCATATAAAGTAGTCCAAGAGGTTAATCATTTCTTGTGATGCTTGAAAGCCACAGCCACAACATTATTCTAGAATCGTAATCTGTACAGTTTATTGCGATCGGGATGGACATGCATAAATAATCCCTCCACTTCCTCCCGCATCTTTTGATCAGGCTCTTAAATCGTTCACAATCCCTCCGCCAACTTGTTCAACGCCGGACCCTCCATCATCATCTTGGTCCACTCATCCATGGCTTTAGCCCCAACCTGCTCGTAGAACTTGATGCTGGGCTCATTCCACTTCAGCACACTCCACTCAAGACGTCTGCCCTTGATCTCCAGGACCTTGGCGGCAAGGTACTTGAGCAACTTGAAGCCGTAACCATTGCCCCGAGCACTCGGCTGGACATAAAGATCCTCAAGATAGATTCCCGGAGCTGCGCGCCACGTAGAGTAGTTGTAGAAGAATAGCGCCATGCCGACAGGCTTGGGTGTGGGGTTCTCCGCTGTCGCAGGAGGGGTAATAAGCGCGGTGTACACGGAGCCACGCTTGGGCGGGCTGTCGGGGAAGGACAAGGTTTCAAGGAGGGACTCGTGGGTGGCCTCTACTTCGTGCAGGGCTTTTTCATAATCTGCCAGCTCGCAGATGAACTGGTGGATGATCGGGACATCTGCAATGGTAGCCAAGACATGGTTAGTCAAGATCGGAGGCGTTGCCAATGGGCCAATGCAGTTTATGCTAAGACGACATCAGAGGGAAACACTTGCCCTCAGGGGTCGCAAGGCGAATATTAGGCTGGTCAGGCATTGTGCCGGTATGTGTAAATAGTAGCTACAGAGAGAAGCAAATTGTTGAAAAAGACAAAAGCAAGAAGCCGGGGATGAATATATATATGAAGACCCCGGAGGACCCGCCTGTCGTTCCCCACCGTGCGGTCGGGACCGCGACTGTCCTACTCAAAAGGGACTTTGACTGCCCTGCGCCCTTCGGTTGACATCGAGTCCTCTGGAAGGTCGCAGAACCACAAGAATAACAATGTCAACTAGGACTATTTTGGATAGACGAAATGAGTATCGACAAGGTATAATAAGATGTGAATCAAGAATGCTATGTACCAGGTATAATTACAACTATGTCCTTGCCTCCAAGAACCATGGTTTCCGGCGAAGGCCTGGAAGTCTAGCGTGATGTGATGGCCGCCATCCACTTTTGCTCATCGGTCCTGTTCAAGTCAGCATATACAAGTCTGCAGAAGGGAAGGAAAAAATGAACACTTGGATACTCACCGGTCGAAATGTAACAGCATCCCCAGGACAGGCACCAGCTGCTTCTGGTAGTTCTTGTCCTTCTGCTCCAGAAACTGGAGGAGAACATTCTTCAGGTAGATGTAATCGATGGATGATGTATTAGACCCGGTTGGCGTCTCGCTTCTCCGGGTTGACGGACTGCGGTCTTTGGAGACTGGAGAGGCCAGCGCTTTGCGTGATCCGGAATCGATGGAAGATCTGGATGACTGCGGATTGGGACCGAAGCGACTCTCGTCCGGTAGCATCTTGTTGGACTTGCGGACCTTTTCTAGGCGCGCGTTGGTCTCCTCCACGGACCGGCGCAACTCGGCCTTCTCCTTCTCCAGATCACGGACTTGTTTCTCACTTTCGTCCAATGCATCCCGCAACCGTGCCATAGCCTGTCGTAGATCACTGAGCTCTTGGGTGGTCTTCTCCGACTCGGCCTCGAGTTGATCCCGTCTGCGTTTCCAGTCCTTCTGAGTATGTTCCAGCTCTTCCTTATCCTCCTCCACAGTACGCAAGGCTCGCTCCGCTTCGCGCAGCTTGCCCTTCAAGTCTTCCAACTCACGCGCCCGGCGGCGGCTCTGAGCACTTGCTTCATCCTCAGCCCTGTCGCGTTCTTCGATGGCAGCCTCCATGCGCTCCTTGAAATCCCGTACTTTAGCCTCTGCGCGACCGTCAATATCATTGAGAAGACGCCGCATGGTCTCGCCCTCCCGAGTACGTTCGCTCAGCAGGCGATGAGCATCCGCTAATTCTTCTTCCAGGCTTTCACAACGCTCCCGGGCTTCCTTCATCTGCATGCCCAACTCTCCAGCCTGGTCGCGCATGCTATTCATCAAGCTTTGTGCGCTGGCATGCTGTGCAGTCTTCAGCTGGATCTCCTCTCGCAGGCCGCCAAGATCCTTGTTCAACTGAGCAGCTTGGCTCTCAGCTTCACGGAGCCGGGCCCGAGCTGCCTTGAGCTCATCTTGAGCCTTGGACAGGTCCGATGCCAGCTTCTCCTTTGCCTCCACGGCTTCCTGCTTTTTGCTCTCTGAGTATCGCAAATCAGATTGGGCGACCGTCAATTTCTCCTCGCTCTTCAGTCGGCTGTCCGTCTCTTGTCTGATCTTCTGGTTGAGAGACTTGACTTCTGCGTCTCTTTCTGATATGGTAGACTTCAGCGACTTCAGCTCTGCGCGCAACTCATCATGCTGCCCCTCCAAGTTTCGCAAGTCGGCTGTCTTGCTGTTCAAGGATTCCTTTGTCGACTTCAGCTCCGCGGACTCGGCCCGTAGCTTCTTCACTTCCGGTTGCAGTTTCTGCAGAGTCTCCCGCAGTTCTGTCATATCCTTGAACCGCGTGGCAGCCAGCTGCTGGGCAGCAGAAAGCTCAGTCTCCAGTGTAGTAGACTTGATCTTGAGGCTCTCATATTCGTCCTTCAGATCATTGTGTGCCTTCTCGGTATCAACCTTACTAGACTCACTACTCGTCCGCAAATCTGTCAGTTCCTTCTCCAGCTTGGATATCGTTTCCTCCAGCGCGTTCTTCTCGGCGGTTAGCTCCTTCACCTTATCCTTGGCTTCAACATGGTCTTGGCCGATATTGAGTAAGTCATCGCGTAGGGTTTCGATTTCCTCTTTCAAATCCTCCTCTCCCTTGATCCTGGAGCAGAGACGGTCAATGGTAGCATCCTTCTCAGCCAGCTGCGTTTTGAGCGATTCAATGTTCTGCTCCAGCTCGGTGAGCTTCAAGGCTGCTTGATCAACTTGCTCTGCCGATTCTGGCTTCTCCTCAGCAGGAGCAGCTTCAACTACTTTGTTGGCCTCCTCGTTCGCCTTGCCTCCCTTCTTCTTCTTTTTGTTCTTCTTCTTGCCTCCCCCAGCACCGCCTGCGGGGTTCGCTGCTGGTGCGGTAGGTCCGGCGGAGTCCTCTTTCACCGCTGCAGTTTGGGGTGAAGGAGCCAGACTCTCGCGAAGTTCATCAAATGCTGCTTCCTTTCCATTCGCAATTTGGTCTTTGGTCTGTTTCCATTTCTCGTTATCTTTGAGATTAGCATCCAGGAAATTGACAACGTTCTGTAGTTTGCCCATATCTTCTGTCTTCTGTCCCATTTCAGTCTTGAGACTGGTAAATGTTTCTTCCGTCTCCTTGAGCTGGGACCGCAGACTGTCAACCAGACCTTGTAGGACCCCAAGACGCCGGTCATTGGCCTCCTTTTCGCGATTCAAGTGTTCCAATTTTGACTCAATCTCTGCTTGCTGATCAGCGCTCTTGGCTTGAGCAGTCTGAGCCTGGAGTTGCTCGATCTCATCGGCCTTTTGCTTGAGCTCGGATTTCAAGTTTTCGATTTCGGAGCTTGTCTTCGCCACAGCCTCTTCTGATTTTTCGAGCTTGGCTTTAAGCTCCTCAACTTCCTCTTGATTAGAGGTTTTGAGCTTCTCCAACTCCGCATCCTGTTTGTCCTTAGTGTCGCGCAACTCAACAAGCTCCCGGGTAGCGGACTCCAGGTTATGGACCATGCCTTCCGTTGACTCGCGGGCTACTGACAAATCGCGCTTGAGCGACTCTGTCTGGGACTTCAGAGTCTCAATCTCCTCCTGTTTCTCCTTCAGTTCTGACTCCAGTCGCGGGATTTCGCTGTCATATGAGAAGAACTCCTCACTATCACCCTGTGCCCCAGACTCCTTCGGAGACGTCTCCGCAGTATCCTTGGCGCCAGAAGTGGTCGACTTCCCGGACTTCGTAGCGCTATCGGGTGTAGATTCGTCGGTAGCGGAGCTCTCGGCAGCTGGCCCTTCGTCTTTCTTGGCTTGGGATTTGCTATCCTCCTTGAGTTTTGTAACTTCATCCCAAGCGGCTTTGGTGGATTTCTGAGACTCTTCCAATTTCTTCTTGTAGTCGTCCCGCTCTGCTGTTACACGTTTCAATTCCTCGGTCACCAGGTCACCTTTCAACGAGATCTGATTCAAGTACTCTGTCAAGGCTTTCGGTTCGCTGATCGACGTCAGGGGGGTGTTCTCTCGCAGGGCAGCTTCGAATGGTTCGATCGACAGGACACGCGAATGGGCCATGCGGTAGGCTTTAAGGAGATCTGGAGTACGGCAACAAGTTAACATTATGGCCGGACGGTCGTTGCGGAGTGCTCATTACCTTGATAACGGGATTCAAGTTTGCCCAACCTTCGCAGTTTTACCCGAATCTCTGGCGGGAGCTCAGACGGTGACTGGTTCGTCTCAGTTACAGGCTGAGCCTCGGGCTTCTTGGTTGCGGACTCCTCAGAAGACGTCTTCCCCTCCCCGGCGTTCTCCTCCGGGGCAGCTTCGGAGCCACCTGCCGACTCCAGACGCGGAGTGGCTGATCTGCTGGAACCTTCATCATCTCCGATGGCGAACTCCGGTTCGAACTCGTTGGGATCAGGGCCACGGACAGGGGTACCGGTGTTTCGCCGAGGACGAGAGGCTCGCCTTGTCGGAGATAAATTGCGACCCGTGGGATGACGAGCGGAGTTGGAGCGCGAAAGTGAAGTTTGAGCGGACCGTTGACGAGCTTGTTCTTCTGCAATCCGCGAATCGATTGCGTCGCGCAGGCGCTAGATTGGGAACAGGGCGGGATCAGCCACAGCACTGGCACGAGCACAAAATGGCACGGGGAATGCGAAACGGGTAAATAGTAATGGACAGGTTGAGAGGGAGATTTGAAAACAACTAGCGGGCGGCGACTTACCTGAAACATGACCGTGGCGGGCCTGTGAGCCAAGGCCACAGCAAAACTGATGAACGAAAGACAGAAAAAGAGAAGTCGGCAAAGGGTGAGGACAAGGAGAAGCAAGCGATAGGCAGGATAGAAGGGGAGCATGAAATCCGGCGGCGGCGACTACAACAACTCATCCACACGGGGGCTTCTTCGGTTGGCAGTTGGGCGGCCAGCACGGGGCAGAAAGCGGGTGGCCCGCCGAATAACTTAAGTGGACTCGTTCCTGGGGGCGGTGAGCAGCCATTATCTATCTACCCTAAACTCATGTTGCATTGTTTCTGTTCATTTCATTAACCCGTTCCCCAAGAAGATGGTTCGTTCATTCAACCCTTTACTAAATGTCTATTTTATTATTGGATGTACTCAATATAAAGGCCACACCGCATATTGTAAGATTTCTGATAACTGTACCCCGTCATGTTGAAGGAGCTACTATATATAGATAAAGAAGCGGGTCCCTGGGACGATAGCAATACCTCTAGCGCAGAGACAGCCTCGATGACAGCATGCATTGATATTGAGATAAAGGAGAACTACTAGAATAGACTGACAATTAGTAGGATTGCTCATGATGGTCAATATGACGATGGCGATAATCCAATTACTATCTCCGTGGTAACTACTTACTACCTATTAACTACAATTCGGTTAGTGCTATGCTCTCGCTTCAAATATATATTTCTTGCGATAGTACTACTAGCCAGCACCGTGCTACCAGGGAATTCATATATCTCTTCAGATGAAGTTCTACCATAAGGGCGAAATTTAAGACTTAAGGCA